GTTATTTACCTTTTTTTTTTTTTTTAATAAGTAGATCTTAATAGTTGGACTTATTATTCAATAAGTCCTATGATAATTAATGGCATTTTTCATCAAACATTGTTAAAAACACCACTAATTGTTAATTTTCAGCGACAATTTGAAAATTTTGTCACAAAAAATATCATTCATTATAAGTTTTAACAATAGTTTAAAAAAATCGTCACAAAAAAATCACTAATTTTTAACTATCAACGACAGTTAAAAATTTTGTCACAGAAAACGTCACTAATTGTAAGTTTTAACGACAATTTATAAAAATCATGACAAAACAAGCCACTAATTATTAATTTTTAACGACATATGTAAAAACCATCACAAAAAATTATTTTTAACAATGATTTTATTATGAGTTTGGCAAGAGGCTATTTTAGCCAATTAGCCAAAAAGTTACTAAATTAGCCAAAAAGCCAACAACCCATACCAAAAAGTCAAAGATTCTCTTTTCTCTCTACTTTTTGCACATCTTTTCGTAATTAGCCAAAAAGTCATCCCAAACATACAAGTTTTTTTTACCTACCTTTTTAGCCAAATAGCCAAAAAGTTACTAAATTAGCCTGTTCCCAAACGAGACCTTATTCCCATAACCCAATTCAATAAAGCTTTCCTTTACAATAATAATGATTGCAAAGAGAATGAGAGTTGTAATCTTCAAAGTTGCTGCCTTGGGGTCTCCGTCGTTGATTTTGGGGGAATCGTTGTCCACCCTCTAGGTGCTCGACGAAATGCCTCTTTTAGATACATTTTTGTATAAGGATATGCGGTGGGGATTACGAAAAACTCTTCTAAAAGGGTGGTCAAATTAGATGAGTTGCATAACCTATTTTTTTTTGTTCCTTTTCAAACTTATTAGGCTTCTTAAAACAAATTTGCTTTCAATATCCACTGAACAGTTCTTTACAATGGCGCAATGCTATATTTTAATGCTTTACAGTTGGTGTCAATTTTTCAGCTTTCCACTTATTTGTGATCACCAATTCTACATCATTTGGTACAAGCAATCAATGACATGGAATGCACTATTCAATATCCTTGCAATGTCTGTAATTGAAGCAAAAGTCTCCCAATGTAGAGCAAGAAAGCCTTCGAATACGGAGTGCCCTCCGTGCTCAGCACGAAGCGCCATTAGCAAAAGTCTCCAAATGTGAAGCGAGAAAGTCTATGAATACAAAGCGCCCTCTGTTCTCAACACAAAGCACCATCAGCAAAAGCCTTTGAATTCGGAGCAAGACATACATACATTCATGCATACCTGCATTCATACAATCATTCATTTATTTATGTTATTCATTTATCAAATGTATTCTTTATCAAGAGATCTAACATCTATTTGAACAGTATAACTCAGCAATAAAAACTCTTATTCCTTTTACCGAAGACAATAAAAGTTTTGAGGCAATCGTGGGAGCCAGAAAAAATATATATTAGCTTATTGAACTAACCCAAACAAGGCTTGACAATGGATCCAACCCAAACAAAGAAGCCCATAGGACAAATATCACACCCCCTATTTATAAAATGAGGGCAACCCAAGGAATAGAGGTATGATCTCTCTCTCTCTCTTTCTTTATAACAAAACATACTCACACACCCTTTCATTTCTACATCTTTTTTCCTTGATTCAGTGACTAACTTTATTATCGGAGTGTCCTCGGCCAGCAACCCCGGTTGGGTGGCGCCAACTATGTTCATCCTTGCAGATCTATAGGAACCAAGCTCTTCTCTTCGTTGGATCTCTTCAATAATCCATATGAGAGGATTTTTCTGGGTCTCACAATATATATATATATATACACACACAAAAACAGCTATATCCACTAACAAATTTGGTGAGAATATGTGTATATATGTTCATATAACTATATATATAGAATGATTAGAGATTTTAAAACACACATACACACCCAAATCCAAGACCACCAAAATAACTTCTCCACCTAAAGGGTTGTTCATTATTGGAGATAGAAGGAAATCAAATCATAGGCTTCTTCTTTCTGTATTATACAGATTACAAAGAGGGGCAACCGCCATCAGAAACATCTCATTCCTCTGCTTGAAGCCTCTTTCATTCTCTGGGTTTCAATCCCCAAGCTTGTTTTGTTTCTTCAATGCCCTAACTATATATATGCATATTCATATTTATGCTTATCCCTCTTTCTCTGGTTGCAATCTCTTTCACTTTCTCTCTCTCTCTCCCCCTCCCATTTCTTTTTTATTTTTGTTTTTTTTATTTTGTCTTGTTTTGTTTTTTTATTTTTGTTTTTATTTTTTTTAATTATTTTTTTTTAATTTTTTTTATATCAGGTGGTGCACAAAATGACATCGTTTTGTGCACTTCTGTTACGTTTGTAAATAATTACAATATGATATGAAATCTGGGGGTTTAAATGTTACAAATAAAACTATAGAGATGCTTTGTGTTTTTAGGGTAAATCACAAGGGTCAAACTGTTATTTACCTTTTTTTTATTTTTTTTAATAAGTAGATCTTAATAGTTGGACTTATTATTCAATAAGTCCTATGATAATTAATGGCATTTTTCATCAAACATTGTTAAAAACATCACTAATTGTTAATTTTCAGCGACAATTTGAAAATTTTGTTACAAAAAATATCATTCATTATAAGTTTTAACAATAGTTTAAAAAAACCGTCACAAAAAAATCACTAATTTTTAACTATCAACGACAGTTAAAAATTTTGTCACAGAAAACGTCACTAATTGTAAGTTTTAGCGACAATTTATAAAAATCATGACAAAACAAGCCACTAATTATTAATTTTGAACGACATATGTAAAAACCATCACAAAAAATCATTTTTAACAATGATTTTATTAGGACTTATTTTCCATAGAGCTTTACAGGAATTAAATCTAATTATTATGTCTTATTGATAGTTTACCCTTTATACATATATATTTATTATTAATTTGGCAAGCTAGTATTTGTAGTGTGACCTTGTATTATTTTAGTTCTTATAATATTAAGTGACTCAATTTTGATTCTGAATCTTTTACTTTGTTTCAAATTAGTCTAGTTGATTCTAATTGACAACCTTTTTTTTATGACAAATGCACACATAAATGGCATACGTTATGGTTTTAATGGTAAAATTATAAACTTGATCAATTTAATTGATTAACATTAACCAATTCAGTGATCATTTTTCATAAAAAAAATCGTAACGAATTTATCAATTTAATCAAATTGACACAAAATTTAAAATTAAGTATTAAAATTGAGCTAATTGAAACTAAATGGACAAAAATAATACAAACGATAAAATATTGAGACTACTGGTATAATTTTTCCTCCTTTTTTATTTTGGTCAAATGAGTCAATTCGAATCCATTTTAACTTAACTCTTGTTTGGCAATAATTTTTAAATTGAATTTTTAAAGTAACATTTTCATTTTAATTTACATTTTTAAATAACATTAATTTTAATTTTCTAATATTATTTAAAAGAATGCAAATAAAATTACATAGACTCTCCTGAAATTTATGACAATTGCAGATATCTCCCCTTATCTCTTCTATTTTGCCCTCCGTTTTTACAATATTTAGTTAGCATTTGTCTCTGTTTATCTTATGCTTGAATTCATGAGAAAATCAAAAAAATTAAAAGATTTGAAGAAAAAAGGGAGAGTGGGAGAGTGAATGCCCAAATCATCGAACTTTGCAGCTTCGAAATCTTGAATCTTCTTCATAAGTTCCTCGGTGGTGGTGATGAGTCCATAGATGGACCCAAATGAAACTCAATCAAAATCCATGAGAAATTAGGTGTTGGTTTTGGCGCGTGTAAACAGTCCTAGGCTGTGACAACTAATCTCAATTATACACTAAAATTGAGTGTGTGTTTTTTTTTTGAACTCACACTAATGTTGTGTTTGATTGGGAGATTTGTGGAGGGATTTAGAAAGGAAAAGAGAAAAAGGTGTGTGAAATTAGGTAAAATTTAGGCATATTTTATTCACATTTTACCTACCTTTTCCATTTCTCTTTCTAAATCCCTCATCAAATCTCCCAACCAAACACAACATAAGATTGTGTTTGAATTTGTAAAAAGAAAAAAAAATTAAACGAAAAGAAAAAGAAAAAAGTGAATGAAATAGAAGATAATTTTTTCACAAATTCCTTTCCCTTCTCTTTTCCATTCAAGAATTCAAAATCCAAACATAATTTCAGTAAAAGTCAATCAACCAAATATCTTTCCAAAACTTGATTTCAAGCCAGTTTTAAGAATTTGGGCCCCTTTATAGTGTGAAGTTAATATCCTATAATCATGTTAAATTTTAGGTATATTCCTAGAGGGAACAAGTATTGTAATGAGTATCAACAGTGGAAAAAATAATGCCACAGGCAACTAACACGGGCTAAAATTCCATTTCATAATGTTGGATAGAGAAACTAGAATCAATTTATCAACATCACACTAATGTTGTGTTTGGTTGGGAGATTTGTGGAGGGATTTGGAAAGGAAAAGGAAAAAAGGTGTGTGAAATTAGGTGAAATTTAGGCATGTTTTATTCACATTTCATCTACCTTTTCCATTTCCCTTTTCAAATCCCTCATCAAATCTCCCAACCAAACACAGCATAAGATTGTGTTTGAATTTGTAAAAAGAAAACAAAATTAAACGAAAAGAAAAAGAAGAAAGTGAATGAAATAGAAGATAATTTTTTCACAAATTCCTTTCCCTTCTCTTTTCCATTCAAGAATTCAAAATCCAAACATAATTTCAGTAAAAGTCAATCAACCAAATATCTTTCCAAAACTTGATTTCAAGCCAGTTTTAAGAATTTGGGCCCCTTTATAGTGTGAAGTTAATATCCTATAATCATGTTAAATTTTAGGTATATTCCTAGAGGGAACAAGTGTTGTAATGAGTATCAACAGTAGAAAAAATAATGCCACAGGCAACTAACACAGGCTAAAATTCCATTTCATAATGTTGGATAGAGAAACTAGAATCAATTTATCAACAACAACAATCAAGATCAGAAAAGCAAACATGTTATTCTGATAAAATGATTCAACAGACAAGGCATCGTCAATGGCCAACCGGAACATCCATTCAGAATTCAGATTACAACAAAGAACAACAAAAATAGTTTTACACAAGCGCCATAAATAGCTAGACATCTCAAACAGGGCCCCGTTCAAGCCCTTGTTTTCCTTCTTCAGAAGTTCAATATGCAACTGACGAAAGTTACTCATGGCTTCAGCGGTTGGGCCAACTACAAAAACAGATTACATTAAAAGCTGGGAAGTAGCTAACGATCTCGAACAACCCTTCTCAAGTCCTCGTTTTCCTTGTTTAGAAGATCAATACGCGATTGAAGAATGTTAATCATGGCTTGGGCCCTCATCACTTCAAGCTTCATCGTCTCTCTCTCCATAGAAACATTAAGGATCTCATTTTCCAAATTGCTGATGAATTTCAAATATCCGGGAGGCACAGATTTCTCAAGATTAGCTGCATCGAATGTTGGTGGGTTATTCGGATGGTTTTGTTTGGGTTCAAGAGATTCCAACAGAGGGAATTCCAAGAGTGCAGAGGGAAATTTTGTTGTGGTTGCTACAGTTGTAGATATACAAAGATCGTGAGTTGTCGTGATTGAATCTTCCGAACCATTTGCACAAGTGGAGTTGGGATCATCTGGCCTTGATCTTTTATTCTGAGCCAAACAGAGTGGTTCTGCGTCAGCTGTACACGGTAAAGGACAATCATCTGACCTTTCCCTCTTGCAAACAAATGACACGTTTTGAGAACCATTTGGAAGCTCAGTTCGACACAGAGGTGCCTTGATGGAATGAGTGTGAGCATCCTGTAATAATAAGGCAATATTTAGAGGGCATTACTGCAATAATTAAGCCTTCAGAAGTTAATGCCTTGGTACAAGACAGATTGAAAACAAAGTAAAAAAAGGAAATGTCTCCCAAAAATCAACCCATAACTAGAGAACATTGTGCATAGGTCATAATGATAAACGCAGCAAACTTGCACAATTTTTTTACGAACATCCTGTAAACTGGTATTTGCATTTGAACATACCGAGATTTAACTGCTTTGAAAAGACAAATTTTAGAATGATTTTTTGTGACAAATCAAACTCACCACGATACAAAATTTTCACTCATTTTCAAATATAAAATTAAGTTGGTAGAAGTACCCGAGCAAAGAAGAAACAGGAAAGTAATTTTCATTATGATATTTGCTTTTCTTTTTCCCTCTTTCATAAAGGACAGGTTGAACCCATTTCATTTACTCCAAGATGAGCTGTCCAACTTATTCCCACCATGTCAAAACAACTACTGCAATCACTCTTTCAAGCATTTGTCCAATTCATCCATCCATCTAATTCCAGTGCACTATCCTCTTCAATCTCCTCATGCGAAGCTATCTATAACAAAGAAAGTTGGTAGTTATCATTTTTACCCATACTTCTGTCAATTAGCTTTCACCGTTTCCTTTATAGATCTCAATTTTGTTCGACATACTTTATTTTAGTCGCACTTTCCTAACCTACAGCCACTCTTGCTATAGTCTTCATCAGCTAAAGATCCGAAAGCCAATTTTTCAAGGAACATCCTAAAATGCAGGAAGTTTTGCCTCATCTCACCGTACCGAAACCCCAAAAGGAGTCTTACATGAGGAATGAATACCTAAGGGAGACCAACTAATGCAATATGAGGCAAAATTGTTTCTTACCAAAGAGCAATAGAAATGGACTTTATTAAATTACAAATAGAGTTATCAATATTTTGTTTTGCCAGAGGTCATAAATCCATTTCATATTTTCATATAATAATTTTTCCTTGGGAGAAGAAAAGTGGATAAAGGAAATCACTTTTTTGCTTATATTCCCATCAATCTGCAAAATCAAAGAAGTAAATTAATTTGGATAGTTTATCAAGAGTTTCCTCAATCATTCCCACAAATCGAAACTGAAACTCTAACTAGTCCCATTGTTGTGTAAAGTACACTGCCATGCTAGTTTTCATTCCAAGAGAGAGGATTTTTTTTATATGTTCAACTTGGGTTGGAAAATTTACTAGGATTCAACTTCAATCACAAACAATGACTATAGAACTAAAGATAGATCAAATCACAGACAGAAAATAAACAGGAGTTTCATAGTTCACCCAAAACTGGGCTTCAAGCTATAAACCCATTTGTTATGGAATGTTAATTTTTCCTTTAGTAATTATATCGGTTAGGGGTGACCATTGGTTCAATGGTAAAACCTTTGCCTAATAACCTTGAGGTTGTGGGTTTAAGTCTCGGGCCAACCACTTTGTGCACTATACTAAAGGTTAGGTGTGTACCCAATCTTTCCCAAACACACATTAATGTGTATTATTTGGGCATTATTTTTAATTATATCGGTTCCTACATCTGATTTTCTAAGAGAGAATTCATCTTGTGACCCATAGCATATTCTCAGTTTTCTCTAGTCATCTATCCCTGGTCTCAACCTGCAAGGTTTCAATTTTATAATCAAGCTCGTTAACACCACATCCATGCTCCTAATCTTCACAGAAACCAATTTTAAATACTTCAAACTTGGTAATTTATCCTTTGACATTAAACCTTTACTTTTAATGATATAACTGTGATTGTACTAAGAGAACCCAAAGTTAAACAGAAAGTACCTTCCTTCTTGCCACGAGCTATCACCATAGCCCCTTTAGTTAACTTCCAAAAGCCACCCATGAATGATGTAACAATTACAGAACTTGAAAGTTGGCTGGTAGAAATTAGATCTTCTTCAAACACGGCTTGGGTCGAACATCCTTAACTCTCATGCCTCTTTCACTCGGTTGATTAATTTGACCTTCATCCATACTGGTTATGTTGCAAGCTTCATCATTACAAGACAAACTTTGTCGAAATGGCTTTGTACATAATAATGGAACAATTCCTTGTGTGAAGTAGCATGAAACGACATACCCAAATCTATCACCCAAGATTCACTACAAGTATCCAAAGTCAAAATCAAAGCATCAGAAGCATCTTCATCGGAGACGTTAATAAAATCCTTTATTGCATGATACTTGTTATCTTGTTGTCTCTTTGGCGTTTTGCAATCCCACTTTACATGACCTTTTTTTGCCACAGTTCTAGCACTTGAAATCCCCCTCTTGGTTGAGATTGTGATTGGACCATTATGACCTTGATTTGCTTATGTTTCATTTATTCCTCTATTTACCTTCCTACCTCTATCATTAGTAGTCAACGCTAAACCAGATGAATCATCACCATCCTTCCTACGAGTTCCTCACTCCAAACCAATCCCACAACATGATCAATACTCAAGTTTGACGAACCAATAAAATTGCTAACTTCACAACTAAAGAATTTCAATTTTCAGGAAGACTTGATAATAGTGCCAAAGCCTTGACTTCATCATCAAACATGATATTAACAAATTTCAAAAAACTTGTGAGTTTTGACCTCGTCAACGCTCAATTGAGATTCCACATTTGAGTATCTTGAAGTTGAACAAATTCTTAACCAAATGATCTTTTTTTGATGGTCAATGGTTTCTTATACAACCTTGACAAAGCAACCATCAAACTCACGATTGTCTTCTCGTTACAGACATTGAAGGCTAAAGATACAACAAGCATCAACCTTATTGAGTAATCCCTATTCATTGTTCTTCATATCCGTCAACTTCTCCAATATTCCTTCAAAAGGAAGATAAGGATCTTTACTTCAAAGTAGAGATAATCTTCTATCTGCATCTTTCACAATCCAAAATTTGAACCATTGAATTTTTCAATCTTAATATTTCTTTCCTTTGCTACCATTCTTGCTAAAAAAATAGAACTCTAATACCAATTGTTGTGAAATTTGCTAGGATTCAAAATCCTAACCTAGGACCTGTTCAATCACACATACACGAGACAACATGATTTACGTGGTTCACACAAAATAGGCTTTGTCCACAGAGTCACCGTGGCTTTCACTACAACCTCAAACACACACAGATTTGAGTTAATGTCTCACACTTCTCTATCTCATAAAACTCTCTCTGCAATCATAAAATTACACATAGATGAGTTACAAGAATGTTTATATATATATTGTCCATTAGCTATTCTTAGGGCTAACAGGACAAATGTAGAAAGCCAAAAACACCCCTAAAAAACTTTTAGCGTCGTATGCTTGTTGAATAGTCACTAGCTCGAGCGACCTCCTTTGATTGAGCATTTCAAAGAGTGGATTCGTACTGGAATTCCATTACAACAAAATCATTGTTGCTCACTCGAGCGACCTAGGCACTTCTCATCAACTTATATCATCTAGTGCAATCTAGGGAAAAGAGTTTGAAGATATCCTTTTATACTTGGCAAAAGTTGCAAATTAATTTTACTGAAAGCCTTGATCTGCACCTTATTCATTATGCATTCCCTATATTGATCAGTTCATGTTGGATAATGTTTAGTGCTTTGAATCACTAGTATTAGATTTAACTTGAAAGACATAACAATATGGGAACATAATTAAATTATGCACGGCTTTTGTGAGCACAGGAGGGGAGGGGGAGGGGGTGAATTACAAACCTGCTCAAGCTCACTCCCTTCCATTTGTGCATCATCACCATTTACCATCTCATCCCCAGCCTCTTCTCCTGGAATCACCAATAATGCATCATCATTCCATTCCTCCTCAATAAATGGAGCATATCGATCCCCATTCGGTGGTCCTAAACCACTTTTTTGAAAAATTCTGCACAGCACAAATGCATCCTTTCCCTCACAAAACAAGAAAAAGTAATAAGATATTCCGTGTGAGATTCAAAATCCTAAATAAGCAAAACCAGTTAAACATATGCACTTAATCTGCGATAATGCAACCAAAATCCACACCTGTGCGACCCTAGCTCTCTCTAAATCTTCCTCCGCAAGCCTGTACTCATGCATGACCCAATTGGTTCGCTTGCCATCTGGAGCTCGTCCACTATGAAACACAAGCGTTTTTTTCATCCCAATTGTCTGGCCCTTATGACGTACCGGTCGATCCTTTCCAGTTGCCTTCCAATACCCTTTGCCAGTGGCACGATTCAACCGAGATCCATTCCCATACTTTCTGTCTACAGGGCTAAAGAAGTACCACTCTAGGTCTCGACTCTTCAGCCTTGAATGACCTAGAGGCCCATAAAGAGATCAGTAGAATCAATGAATTGAATGTGGAAGAGCTCAATTGCATCAATAACTAAGTAAATTATTAGAATTCACTCGCATCAGAAAAGAAAAAGATAAAAAATGAATATACATAACATAATGTGTGCATATTTATATGCAGAGTGTGGTAGCAATGAAACCATAAAACAGAAAAATACAAATATTGACCTATAAGACCATAATGCATAAATAAACAAGAAATTCATCAAAAAAGGGGAAAATAGAACTTGAAAGATAAAATACATATTCTCACACACATAAATAAGCACAAACCTAGTGATTACAAACTTTCTCCCCAAGTTTTTGAATTAACTTTTATGAACACAAACACAAATGACAAAATTGGAGCTGAAATGCACAAACAAAACTGGCAATTTATCACACTTCAAACAACTCTAACCCAGATTAATAATGCTTAACACGTATGAAGATACAGAAACAGAAATGATGATAAACAAAAACATCAATTTGAACCCACAAGACCTCAATTCCACCAACAAACAACAATTTATTCCACTAAAATTAAAAATAAAATAAAATAACTTGAAGCACACACACATATGTATATATATATATATATATAGAGAGAGAGAGAGAGAGAGAGAGAGAGAGAGAGGGTACCGGAGAGCTCCCAGGGCTCAGATTTGTAGACATCGATTTCTGAGACGGCATCGAAGCGGAAGGGCTTCCCAGAGGCCTTACGCTTGAGGTAGTACTGCACAAGCTCCTCGTCCGTCGGATGGAACCGAAACCCAGGAGCCAGAGACGTCGGAGGCGGAGGCGGAGGCGGCGGCGGCGCAGGGGTGATTGCTAACAAATCATGACCCATATCGAAAAAAACACGACAAAACAGATCAACGACTTCGACCCAGATCAGATTTCAACTGATCAGGCCAAAAAACACACAAATTAGGGCTTGTTTGGAGGAATATAGAGATGGGTCTCAGAGGAAGGCGACGAAGGCGATGATGAAAAAGAAGAAGATGATAAAGTTGTTGATGGAGGTGAGGTTTTTTAGGGTTGGAAGTGAAGCAACCGATTGCCCATCGGTTAAGAAACCTCGAAACTTGCTTGTCACGGAAATCAATTCAATGAACAAAGCTTATTGAATGTGTATATATATGATATATATATATATATATATAGATTATGTATTTGATTTTGTTGTTTATAAAGTTTCATTCTTGTTGGGTTTGAACATGTGGTTGTGTCTTTTTCTGTATTTGATTTTGTTGTTTATAAAGTTTCATTCTTGTTGGGTTTGAACATGTGGTTGTGTCTTTTTCGTATTGATACTATATAAATTTGTATTTATATATTTGTATATATATATAAATATATATACAAACCTCTCGCCCTCGTGACTAACGACTATAGCCATTGATCTCAAACTCAGTACTACTCTGCTATTGACAGTACATTAATGGAAAATTTCAGATTTGTTTTCATCTTATTAAAAGTTATTTAAGATCATCATTTTATAATTTAAATTTATTTTACCTAAAACCGTCATCTTATAATTTAAATTTATTCTATCCGTAAGCCCACATTATATAAATTTTACCCCCACAGACACCGAGCCATAAAATTTGGGGAGGTTAAAAGTTTCGGAACTTTTCCATTATTATTATTATTATTATTTTTTTTCTTCTAACAGTGGGTTAATTTTTGAAATCATTTAAAATAAGAAAAAATATATGAGTTTAGTCTAGAGCCTACCTTGATTTTCAGGGAGGTTAGAGTTTGAATTTAACAAACTCCTTCAGTCTATATTTGGTTCATGGAATCAAGATAGAGATCTAAAAAAAAAAAGTGTGAAATATCATTATATTTTATTTTATTTTAATTTCTAAAGTTTTTACTTAATCAAAAAATAGTATAAATTCTCATTAATGGTAATTTAATTTATTATTTTGCTAATACTTTATATTTTATGAAATTAAAAATAAAAAGTAAGAGTTACAAATTAAGATAGTTAAGTTTTTAAATTTAAAAGAATAGGTAAATTTCAAATTTTCTTTAAGGTCTATTTTGGGTCATATTAACTTTTTTATTTTTTTATTTTTTTGTACACATTTAAAAGAAATTAATAAACTAATTTTTTTCTATTTTCCAAAACAAACCTAAGAAGGTGTTTTAGATGATCTAAGAAAGTATATTTTTTAACTTTTTACGAAAATATATATAAAAAAAATAAAGAAATGATGTGATTTAAGGCATGGTTTGGGAAGTGGGTTGACTTTTTTATTTTTTTTGCTATTTTAGCCTGGGGCTAAAAAGCCTGGTTTGGAAATGGCTTTTTGGTTTTTTTGACTTTTTTGTGAAAGAAAGAATGTAATGATTATGGATTAGATGTGATATTTTGTTTTATTAAGTTAAAAAAACTATTTTATTTTTTGTGATTATTTTAGTAAAAAAAAATCTCTAACCCAACTTCCCAAACCACGCCTAAATATATATATATATATATATACGCGCTAAAATAGAGAATGCCAAATAATATTCAAGTCTCCTTCCTTGATCATTGTCGCCCTTTCTCCAAGCCTTCTCATTCATTTCTCTCCATTTATCATGGATGCCCCTATTAACTTTATGCTCTATTATTCATAAGAATAAAAGAGAATTGATTGAAATGGTAATTCTTAATTTTTTTTTTCTGTGGAATGACCATGAATCACTATTTCATTATAATGGCGAAAAATGTAATTATTTTTTTAATCTAATCAAGTATGAGAATAGATGTTTTGATAGAATAATCATTTCATTTTATTCTAATAAACCAAATACTATCTAAGGTATTTTTTCAATTAGAGAGTAAAGAATGAGTTTGTTGAATAAATAAAATAAGAAAGTAAACATTTTTTTTTAAAAAAATTTAATTTTAGTTACTCATAAAGAAATAAATATACATAAATAATTTACTTCCTACTTTTTGTTGATATTTAAAAAAATCTAAACATAGCATAAATATATAGTAAAAACTTATTAGTATTTATTAGTAGAGAATAAGAAGATTTTTATTTGTTTTCTAAAAGAAGGTGTTCTATATGTTATTAGAATATTTATTAAAACTATTTTTTATGTGGTGTCTCATGTATTAGGATAAGTTTTATATGTACACATAATATTTATTGTATACATATAGGTGATGGATAAAATAAAATAGTGAAAACAAATATTATTTTTCAAAAATAAATGAATTATATTTGAAGTTACTTCAAAATCACAAAACATATTGTTCCGTGTTTGGATTGGCGATGATAAAGAACCATCTTATTTTTTAAAAATATGTCTTAAAGATTAAACAATTGCAATAGAAGTCACTGGTAATCTAGTATACACTAATATAGAAGTTTGATAAAGGTCAAGTTTGGCATATGAGAAATAATCCATCTTTTTATCTTTTCTCCATCACATCACCTCTCTACTTTTCTGCACATCTTTTCATAAAAAGACAAAAGTGCACTTATTTAGGTCATTCCAGACAACCCCAAAGTTTGTAATTAGAAGTGGCAAGTTCAATTCAAAGTGGTAGATTGTTCTAATTATATTTATATTGTATTTGGTGCTTTAATTATATTTGGATCATAAATTTATATATATATTTAAAAAGGAAAAGAAAAAAGCAAGATTAATAAAGAAAAAAACTTATTATATTCTATTAACATTTTTTTGTTTAAATTTTTCTCAAAACTCATGATTTAAAAATAATTTTATTAAAAATTCATTTATATTAAATAAGTTATATCTTACAAACCTAATTAAAATTAGATTGAAATGTGTTGAATATAGGTATCAATTTAAAAAAAAGGCACATAACAATTACAAGTTGAGGTGTAAATGCTTATAGTAAGTGATATTTAAGCCTCGTTTGAGAAATAATTATTTTAATTAAAAAGTTAAAAAATTATTATAAATTATCACCTCATTTTTTTTAAATTTTTTTTTACATTTTTCTTTATAAAAAATTAAAAAATTACTAAAATAACTCGTTTTAATCAAATAAACGATGAGATAGAGGAGGGTCTTTTGCTTTTACTTGTCACATTTTGACTTTGCGTATGTAGTGGGAAAGTGGAAACCAACCATTATTATGGGGTGATATGGCCAAGAGTCATATCTCACTCCCCAATAAAGTTTTTTTTTATAATTATTTCTTTTAATTTTCATTTTTTTTAAGGCAATAAAGGCAACATGGGCCAACATTTACTTCAAGGCTATTCCAATTACAACCTTTGTAGGCCGAAACTCCTCACATTTTATTGGGCTTATATGATTGACCCATAAAAGTTTTTGTTTGAAAAATAAAATAAAAATAGAAGTAATAGGAAGGTATATTATGAATGTTGGAGATGCTTTGCAATAGGAACAGGGCCGGCTATGAGACAAGGGGGGTGAGTGCTCGAATTTTATCTAAAAAATAGGATTTTAATTTTATCTAAGTTATAATTGGTTACTTATTTCAGTTTTAAGTTATATTTAGTTTATTGAAATGAAATTAAATGGTATAATCATTCTATTATAATGTCAATCTTACGATTGGTTTACTAAAAAGTAATAAAAATTATTACAAAAGAAATCATTATTCTCATCATTTTATAAAGATACTATGAAATAATCATTTTATTTCATTCAATTTTATTTCAATAAATCAAACATTTTATAATAGTATTAGTACTAGTACTTTAAAAATGAAATTTTACAAAAAAAAAATTTGAATTGGTGAATTATTTAAAAGTAATGCATGATTGTTTGTTAAATGTATGGATTATTTAAATTGTTTGACTATACCAGTTACAATTGTTTTTGAAAAAATAATTTTTTTTTTAAAGTTAAAATTGACCAAATTTTATAATTTGATCTACTACGTCAAGGAAAAGTGTAAACAAATTGATAATGTTAACAATCAAAAATATTTAAAATTTATCTCAATAACTATGATTTACGTCAATCTCAATGACTATGGTTTATGTTAACTATAAAAATCATATAAAATTGCTTAGGAAATATAATATTATAATATTTGTAAAAAAATAAATTATAATTGATTCACTTACTATTACAATAAATTAAAATTGGATTTCTCACTTAATATTTTAAGTGATTTCCATGGGTAAAAAAATAGTAATTTTAGTGTCTATATATACAACAATTTTTGTGTAGCTACAAGTAAATTTTTTAAAAAAATTTAATAAAAATTACTATTATTTTATCAATATATATTTAAAAGATATATGAAGACCGAGCCTACTTTGCCTTGAGCCTCAAAAAAGGTTAGGGCATAGGAAATGACTATAAAGGACCAAAAGATTTTGGTAAGTATTTAGTACTTTCTGGCTAAATATCTGTTTAATTATAATTTATTGATGGAAATACTTTTTATTTTTTAAAATTTTAAAATGTCATAACTTTTTATCTATATTTAATTTTTTGATAAAATTTATTGTTGAGATTTATCAAATAAAATACATGTTGGTCATGAAATTCTAATAAAGGAATACAAACAAATTTCACTATCTAAACTAAACTTGATATAATAAAATTTTACTATCAACTTAGACAACAAAATTTTACTGTCTGAATTAGTTTTTAAATATTGAAATTCTACCACCATCATCTCTAATCACCACAATTACAACAACAAATTTATATAATATTAAGATAGTAAATAAATTTCACTATCTAAATTAAACTTAATATAGTAAAATTGTACTGTTAACTTCGAAAACAAAATTTTACTATCTGAATTAGTATTTAAATATTGAAATTCTACCCATCACCATCTCTAATCACCTCAATTACAATAACAAATTTATATAGTAAACAAGTTTCACTATCTAAACTAAACTCAATATAGTAAAATTTTATTGTTAACTTAGACAAAAAAAAATTTACTATTTGAATTAGTATTTAAATATTGAAATTCTACCATTACCATCTCTAATCCCCACAATTACCACAACAAATTTATATAATATTAAGATAGTAAAAATTCACTTATGTTAGACAACAAAATTTTATTGTTGGCTATTACATAATTAAATAGTAAATTTCTATTGGTTAAATAAATCAAAACAATTTTTTTTGGTTTGGGTTTAACTATATATAAAACATTAGATTATCAACAAATATGTTTGCTGTACCAATAAAGGAATCCTTAAAA